CTTTCACACTGGGGCAGCTCATTAGATGTCTACCCAGCACTCACGGAGTGCTTTGTGACATCTCAATAGGCAACCATTCATAAATGACCTCCACCCATCAGAGGGTAGGACCCCCAAATCAGGTCAGCCTCACCATGGCCGACTTGGGAGGTGGCCTGGGCCTCCCTGTGGGTTCCTCTTTTAATCCTTCCTGTAAATCTATGTAGGGAGGGCTGGGTATAATGGCAGACCAGCCAGACTGGAACCCAAACAGAAATCAAGGGGCTGGTGTACTGCTCAGTGCTGCCACCCTGTGGGGGAAGGTGCTGGAGCCGGGAGAGCTGGCCCCAGGCTGTCTGTCCTTCTGACCAGAGCTCTGACCTCACCCTGTTCCTTCCCATGCTCACCACCTGGGATATACTGGAGTCCATTCATCTCTTTGAGGGTCCTCCACTGACCCTCTACTTTTCCATGTCCTTCTCCAAGGACTCCCTCCCAACAGCATGCCCAAAGCAAGTTTCCCCATCCTTGTCTCTAAAGAGAACTCCAGCAGCGTGGTTGAGTTTAAAAGGCCAAGTTCATCCAACTTCAAACCTGTGCCTGGACGTTACCCACTGCCTCTCATCCCTTCCCACGATGAATGCTACATGCAGGATGCGTTACTATCAAGTCCTACAGTAGTTCTCGTTAGCTAAATCTGAAGTTATTTTGGTTGGTTTTCCACATAGGTGATAAAAAGAGATTTAAAGAATCAAGTGAATTTGAATCCCGTCTTCCAAGGCTGCTCTTCCCATCACCCCATGGATGTACACTCAGTGTGCACTTATCCGGTTTCCTACCTAAATGCTGACATGCAGCATGAACATCCAACAGTGAATGGGGCCTGTGCCTGTGCTCTCTGGAGCTTTGGAGGGGGCAGGCGCTGGGAGGGAGCAAAGTGTGAGGGTCTCTGGGGGAGGCCCATCCACAGTGGGACCTATAAATAGCAGCTAAGACCCTCTCTGAAGCTGTCTGCCAGCTTCAGAACAAAGGCTGTTAACCCTATCTTGGCCCTGAGTGCAATGACTCTGCCCCTTCTCTACATGATCCCCAAATTCCAGAAAACCCCCAAATTGACTTCTAAACCTCACCCACCATTCAGCTGAGGGGAAAGTAACCTGTTTTCAAAGGCTGGACTCACAAGCAGAGACAGCTCCTGCCGTGCCTCCCGACAGCTGGACGCACGGGTTCCCAGTTCACAGAAAGCAGCTATGTGTACATTTGATACAGAAGAAATTTTGATTAATAATCCAACAGCTCAAAAAACTATTATCTTCTGGGTCATGCCTTCCTTCCACCCAGTTCATGTTTTTTATTAACCAACAAATAATTCTTTTGACTTGTAAGTAACTAATAGGTCAGGCATTTTCCACAATCACGTCTATCCAAGCGGCTGACCATAAAAATGCCACATAGCACACACTGACAAAGGGAATTTGCCCATTCTCATCCACCTTAGAGGGAGCCCTGGTGGCCTAGTGGGTAAGGAGTTGCACTGCCAAACCAAAGACAAGTGGTTCAAATCCCCTGGTAACTCCACAGACAGGTAATCTTAAATGTGCAACAATGAAAATCCAATTTATCTGTATAAAACTTTTGTTAAAATCAATTTTTAAAAAAATGGGGAGAGGAAGTGCTACAGGGGAAAGAAAAAAAAAGGATGGGTAATCTCCTCCCATGTGGTTTACTCTCTGAAAACCCACTAGCTCAGCCCCTAAATTGGTTCCAACGTCACGGCAACGCCTCCCTGCCATCCTTCCTATGATAGCCTTTTAGGTGTGCCTGCTCCCTCTCCCTCTCCCATTCTTCCTGGGAGAATCCGTCCTTTCCTCAGCGTCACCACTAAGTCCCAACAAGAGACGGAGCAGAATTCATCTGTTGTCGGACCACCCTGCAGCTGTGTGCCATCAAAGCCGTCTCCCCTCATTGAGACATTCTTGCCTCAGATCTTGGTCTTCACGGTATTCCGCCGTACCTCAGGGTTCAACCCCCGGAGTGAGGGTCTCTTCGTTTGGGTTTTTATAAGCTGCACCTTGGTGGTGGTTTGACCACAGAACGGTAGACTGGAAAGGAAGGATATTCAAGACCTATGGGACTTTGAAGTGTGATCATCATCACAGACATTTATGACACTGCAACTCCGCTGCCCGACCACACCGCTGGGCCTCCTACTTGAAGCAGCTAACTAGTACTAGAAGATAAATTTTGTGAATTTTCTCTCCGAAAGGTAAGACAATAAAAAACTACAAATGCATGACCAAGCTTCCAGCCACTTATGAAGGCTTGATTTTAGTTCTCTCATCACCAAGGAAGGTAAACATGAGGTTATGGAGCCTAGTTCTCCTCTTTTTACTGGTTACAAGACTGGTTGCTTCACTGATTTGCTTACAAAGTTTGCATATACTGTTTCACACTATTCTTATTCCTACTGTATTTCAATGATTCCCATGCATTGTTTTGTAAAATTAATCTTGCCCATAATTATCCTTTCCAGCAGGATCCTCCCCCATCCCACCAAACTGTATAACCCTGTGGTTTCACCCCTTTCTATCCCTCCCCACCATGGGTTGCCATACATGGTTTACTAGTTATCCTTTTATAATTTATCAATTTCTCCTCTTATACCTTTTCCCCTACTGATTTGTAAGAACTGTGCATGAATTGTTAATTTTCCCCATTTGTAATTTGTCTTCCTTTTGTGCCACGGTAATGACGCTTATTAATGGATGCATAGTTAACAGGTTCTGACACAGAACACCATCTCAGCTCATCGCAGAGCACAAGAGCTTGAGAGATTTTTCCCTTTTAAAACCACCGGAGGACTCCAAGTCCTCTCCACGACACTTTTGCCTGGGGAGCAGGGAAAGCAACCAACCAGCTCAAGCACTCCTATCATCAGTGATTCCCCCCACCCCCCCGACATTCCAGCACCCCATCTCACACTCTCCCACCAGCCAGCTTTCCCCTAAACATACTGAAAACTCAAGCTTCCAGCTTTCTCTCACCACACTGCTCTTTGTCCGCCTGCAGAAGCAGATGAGAAAAAGCCAGGTAGCAGGCATCCAAGCAGCAGCTCACAGACATCACCTGCCATGAGGTGGTGTCACTCTCGTTCTGAGACTACAGCAACTATATCTTAAATACCTGCTTTCTTCCTCAATTCTGAAAGGGAAACCCTTTATCACATTCACCTAACGGAAAACCATAGTTAAGATTGTTAGGAAGAAAGAAAATGACATCTTCAGACAAAGGGGGGTTGGGGAGAAAGCATGGCGGCACAGTATTTCTGATCACCAACTTGGAAAATAATGTCTCAATAAACTGGTAACTTTCAAAGGCAAGATGCTTTTCTCAATTAACTTACAGGCCTTGCTTCTAAGTTTGGATGCTGTTACTCAAATTTACAATTGACTTAACTCTCCTAAGGAGCTGGAAGAAAAAAAAAAAGTAAGCATTAACTATTACGTAAGGTTTTTCTTTTATTTAAAAGATCATTCACAAAATACCATATCCATAGATTTCCTTTCTGTCATATAGCTGAATGTGTGAAGTGTTTGGAATCCCATTCTTATATTTGAAAGTCAACTGGATTGCCCAGAAGTTTAGATGATTTTGTTTTGTTCTTCATTGTTTCCACATTGAAGGTGTAAGTAGGTCATCTGAAAGCATCAGGTTTGATTACAACCACATAATGCATGTCTTTCTTAAATGAAGTATTGGTGTTACACAAATGGTTCTTATCTCAGAAGCAGAGAAGACAGGTGGGAAGAAAGGAGGGAAGCAGAGTTCTGTAATTGCTGAGACCTTGTAACACAGACATAGCAGAAGCCAAGGTTAAAAGGTTAGCGGTGCGTGACAGCACAGGCCAGGCTGCCTGCCCTCAGCGCTCTGCCCCGGCCCAGCCAGGGTCCTTTCCTAGGACTCAAGCTGCTGGCTGACCCGGCAGTGCTTCTCCCAATGGGACAGGCTAGGGCCAGAGGGTTACAGATCGTGTGTGCGATCCACACACACAGGTAGTCAAGCTTCAAAGTGTGGCTGCCAGACCCCGTCCCTACAGGTAAGTGCTGGACACTGGACAAGGAACGAGAAACTGCCCCAGGGATGAAGTAGCCAGACCAGTCACGAGAGCCACCTGGAAGGTACCAGAAGGTTTTGATAGCTCTGCATAGTAAAAATGGCAAGTCATCAAGTGAAATAAAGTGCCAATTCTAGCCTCATTTTCACTCTAAATGGAAGGGAAGTGAGGGCACATTTCTCCTGATTACTTACGGGAAAACACGAGGGAGACACAACACACAGACAATGCAGACTTCTGAAAAGCAGCGTCAGCACTCAGAAGCCAGCCCTGCACAGCTCTTCCACCAGCCCCTCTCCCCGGCTAAACTCCCATCCCCAAGGTGGCAGAATTTCCAGCCAAAACAAGGCAGCAGTTAGACCCCGGGCCCTTGGAAGCAGCCCTCAGACACCCCGTGCCTGGACTGCGGTTGGGAAAGGGCTGTGAGAGAAACACGAACACAGTCCACCGTCTTCTCGCGAACTCCCCCTGCCTCGCAAAATACCCTCCTCCTCTGAGGTTTCACCTTTTGAAATGGGAGCCTATTTTACATGAATTTGCAAGGGGCAGAGGGGCCAGAACCACCTAGAAATGGGGACAGAGGCTGCCGCCCCTGCACGGCCTCGACAGACAACTTTTCCTTGCTCCGAAAGCCACGTGTCTCACACTCTGAATGCTGATCTGAGTAAAACCAAGATGCTATTCCATCGGCCTGTGACTCCTTCCCTCGGAAGCCACAGCAGCACAGAACTCAACATGCGGGCGGGAAGAGCAGCTGAGAAGAGATGACGAGGTGTGGCCAGTGTGTCCAAAGCCAAAAAGAGGAAGCTAAGGAGAGAGATGAATGAAGCAGCACCTTGGCCCAAAGAGTGCCCTGCCCAGAGCAGCTGCCTTTGCTCCTCGACAGAAAACCATGAGTGAGAAGGAGGGAGCAAGAAGGAAAAGGACAGCAGGAGAGATGGGGAAGAGGGGGCAGAGAAAAGAAAAAAGCACAAAACAGGCACTCGATCGATACAGCAAAGCCAAGAATGGACTAAAAACCACTTGTTAACAGCTGACATGCATTCACAAGCTCTGTGTTTCCGCTGTAAGAAAGGAGGACAAATGTCGGGCGCAGGAATGCTGACTGCAGGGCTGCCGGCCAGGGCTGACCAGGCCGCGGTCTTCGCCAACTCTCCCCACACCCATCCCTCCCGACCGCAGGCTCATTCTTGCTCTTTGTGAACAACTTCCTCTCTGGGCCGGGCTCCCCCGAAGATAGCAGAGTTGGGGTTGGCTACTTGATTGAGGGGCGTTGCGACTGTTCGAGGTTTGAGCTGAAGTCGTGGTCTCTGTGCTCTTTCCTCTGAGGGAGAAAAAAATGGAGTTCATCAAGAATGGTCCCCGCTCCTCATCCCGCCTAGCTTCTAAAACTAACAGTCTTGAGGGACACCAGGTACCCCACAAAGGGCGGGTGACATGCCGCCTACTCTACTATTCCTAGCGGCTCGGTACTGGGAGGGATGAGTCAGCGCAGCTGGAAAGTCGCCTTCCGCCTCCAGCAGCCCTACCTTCTGTGGGTTCTCTGAAGTCCATATTGGAGCCACGCAGGGGAGGGCCATCTCGGAAACGACTCCCCATTGGAGGGCCTGTTCGCCGGTCACCAGGGCGACTGCCTCCTCTGCCTCCTAAGAAGTCATCCCTGAAGCCTAAAGAAGGAAGATGACGCCAAATTATTGCTCAACCACCTCAAAGTGAGATACAAAATACTCTGAGAACTGCTGGAGTTTATGTTAAGTTTGTATGGTTGGCCCAAATTGGAAGTTTTCCCAAAATAACGAAATGAAAGCCAATCCAATGGGAATCTGCTAGGAAGTTGTAACACCAATAGACTCTTTAAAGAAATAAGAATCAAGTCTTAGAGGAAAGAAAAACAAATTGTTTTAAAAGTCTTAGTTTCAAAGATGGTGGAAAGGACACTGAAAAGGATCTTCTAACACAGCATAAAACAAAAGCAGGTCTTAAGGGTTTTGTTTTCAAATATAAATCTATAGTTACTGAAAAAGATGAACCTGGAATTTAGAGGCTTTTACAATTTAGGACACAAAATCACAAGAAAAGTTAGCTATGAAGACGAAATAAAAACACCAAGTCACCTCTGGGTGACACTCCCCACTTTCTGTTTCTGCTGCTTTTCGGGTGTGCATCATTCTAAAATCAAAGCACCTGTGTGGTAAACAAAGCAGTTATCCACGTAAGGCCGGCACTGGGGGGGGGATGCTGAGAACCCCTCAGACGGGACCTGCGCTCCCTGGGGGTGGTGTGTGTACGTCGCCTGTGCATGGCTCAGCCCATTACAAGAGAAGCAAAGGCATTTCATTTAGAAATGCTAAGAACATGGTGCGGCTGTCATCAATGTGGCAGAGGAAGAATATTTTCTCATAGCTTCAATGTCTTGGGCTTCAGTGTTGTGTTTGAGTGACTCTTTCACAGGGATATATGTGTATATCAAACCAACTTTTCAGCACTAGAGAAGACTTTAGAAAAACCAAATGTAAAGAACAAGGCGTTTGTTTTAACAAATGTGTTTCCTCCTATTTTAGTTTTCAGTATTACCTACTCCAGGGACAGTACTAATGCACAAGCTTTTAGGAATTCATCCTTTGAGAAGAATCCAGGTTCTGAAGTCAATCTCCCTATTTCTCCAAACAGGAGGACGGGGTCACATTTGGAAACAGACAACATTAACTGGATTTCAACTCAAAGACTGAGTTGAATGGGATTTCTTAACAACAAAAGGAAAAAATATTGGAAAACTATTCTAAAAAGATTTGGACCAGTAAGAGCACTGATTTGGATGAAAATCTGTTTGGATGTGAAGTCCAAGATTCTTTAGGCAATCTGTTAAGAACTGGAGCCTAGTTAGTATTCATTTAACCTGGCATTTTTCTCACACTGTTTATTCTAAAACACAGAATGAGATCGAGTCCACCGGATGCTCTGCAGGAGCATCTCTTCCTGTGCCTGCCTCTGAAAGCCGGTTGGATGATCAGCTTTGAGTCGGTTGCAACTCGACAGTACACAGCAACATGAAATTCAACCTCCACTATGTAACAAAATAAGCTCACAGCACACTGTGAAGCAGAACAAAGTATAACTGGAGGCTTGGTTGGTGGTCAATGGCCATCAGTGCCCAGGGACAATCTCATGTCTAAAATGGCTTACGATACCATCTATCACTGTGAAGAAGACTAGAGGGGGATGCTTAATGAGAATCTTTTCCGTTTTCATTAAAATCTAGTTTAACATACTAGTGGTGGTATTTTCCAATTCTTTTTCTTTGTATTTTCCTGTACTGCTCGAATTAAAAATACTCAAACAAAAACCCTAAAATACATGTTATTTTAAAAATTACCATCACTCTTTTGAAGAACAAAATGATATATATTTTCACAAATTATGTGTAAGACATCAAACTAGGCATTACTCTATCTGAAGTTCACATCTCAACTGATGGGTCATGCAAGGTGGTCTCTGCGGCTACCTGCCCAGCATGCCTGTGTCCGAGAACAAAGGCCAAGAACAGAGCCAAGGCAGAGAGCGGCCTGTAGTTAAGATCAAGGTTCACATTCACAGCAGCTTCTGGTGCACCTCCAGCACCAGAGGCCATGACACCGCCAGCTCAGACCACCACTCATGGAGCCCTCACGGCACACTGGCTGGCTCTGAGAAGACATTTGTTTGCTGCATGTTTCAATCAGAGACTAGCTTATACATAAAATTACAGGTTTACTGGATTATACTGTACTTTTATGAATAAGCTCATTTCTGATCGGCTACAGGACTTTTAGGAATTATTCAACAGATAATTAGTCACCTGCTCAGATAAAGCAGTACTAGAAAGGAATTTGTAAAACTTGTAGAGGTACCAAGCCTTCTCATACTTACCAGTTACCTCTGAATTTTGTTGTAAATGGGCTGGGAATAGTCAACAGTAGGAGTTTACAGGACAGAGGGAACCCTGCCATTCTTATCTTATATTGTGAAGAGTGGAGAATCTCAAGATTATGGGAAATAAAGACTACCTTTTCTACCTTTCGTAACACCTGACAATTATACAAACTATTTATATGATTGTAAGGGCTGGGGTGTGGATAAGAGTGATAAACTCTCAGGACAAGAATCCTCCCGAAGCAGAAAACTGACATATAAACTGACTCCTTAACAAGCCACAGAGGCACCAAGGTGGACTCGGCTGAAAGGATGTCTTCCATTCAAGGATTAGAGTCGAGAGATTTCCTTCAGGGGGAAAATAGGACACCAGGACCACCTTTACCCTCTCAGAACCAATGAGAGGCTTTCTGTAAGCTTCTAGAACTTTGGACTAATACCAAAAGTTATAAAATGTGTGCAGAACACAAAACTACCAAAGTGTTTCCCCAGACTAGATCCTAACACAGGTCACGGTGTGAGCAAAATTCACGGATTTCAGAGGAGCAGCAGGCCAAGGAATGGAGCAAGCCAGGCGGCTCGGGCACACTCGCCCACAGGCAGCTTCCACGTCAGGCCCATGACAGTTAGGTTCTCACCGAGGCCTGGGAGAATGCCTGGGTACCGTCGGGGAAAGCGTTATGGTGGACTACAAGTAGTCCGGCCAGGCGGGCCAGTCACAAGCAATGTACCAGAGCAGCAAGGCCACTGGAAAAAATGAAGTGGTGATATGGTAAATACTGATACCGGAATTGAAGTCATCCCGGGAATCCCATCCACCTCTAGATTCTCGAGAACCACCCATTCCTGAGGATACACAAAAAAGATCAAGTTGAGGTCGTATCATTACCCTGCTGCACAGACATGGAAAAGTCATCTGGAAGATGTGAGTCATGAGGGAAGGTCAACGCAAGCACGGAGTTTCTACTCAAGGAGGGGGAGGGGCTGTCCCAGGCCTGCAGAAGCAGCATCCCTTCTCTGTAAATTCAACATGTATTTGTATAAGCTCACAAAAACCTGTCAGGCCTACAGGGCCGAGTTCTACTACTCCCTCTAAGAGTTGTAATCTATGGGCTCACAGCAAGATTTTATTGTCAGTGTTAGAAGTACCAATCACCTCTGTCATCTGGTCCACCTTTCCTGAAGCCAAAGCCACCTTTATCTTGCTTTCTGCCTTCTGCAATGTCCACACGAAGTGACCGATCACCCAACAGCTAATAAGGGGAAAAAAGTGTAAGTATCGGCAAGAAAAACCATCTCTACTACTATCACAACCGAAGAGCCTGTTGACACTTACTGCACCGTCATAAGTCAACGCTTCCTTCAGAGAATCCACCTCGTCAAACTCTACATAGCAGAATCCTGGAAGAGAGGAAGAATAAACTCAAGTCAAGCACTTCCAAAGGAAGGACACGGCAGGGGCCCATGCACACACATCACATCACATCACATCACATCACATCACATCACAACTTCCACCTCCATGTCTGAAAAAGCACAATGTGCATGTTAATAAATAGAACTTTAGGTAGAAAGGGCTACATTTACTAATATAAATCTCGTGTTAATAACCTATATAAAGCCTTTCTTAGGCCATTACAGAGCTAACTTTAGTTCTGACTTCCAAATGACTTCAACTAAACTACCTGGAGCTTTTAAGAGATGTCAAACTCAGGACTTAAGTGCTGAAGGAGGTTGGCTAAACCTGACTCGGGCAGGGGTCACTTCACAAGCTAATAAAGACCCTGGGCAGCATGGGCACCTTCTTCTGGGCATAATTAGGAGACAGACAGCCAAGGCCATGCAAGCGTCATCAACAGCCCACTCTGTTGACATGGATTCTGACAGTCTGGAAGCAGAGGAGGGAGGAGGGGAGATGGTTCTGGGCACAAGTTAGCCCCTTCTCACTCCTCTGAGCCCTGATTAAACCGGTGCTTCTACCTGGTATGCTCACCCAGGGCCTTTCCTCGCTCACACACACCTTGTACTCCTGTCTGTATTCTCCTCTAGGTTAAACACATGGCTCTTCCTGGCCTTCATCACCATATCTTGTATTGCACCGTGGATTACTCCCCACCCCAAATCACTATATTCAAGGCCCCTTAGACTACAAGGACTCTGAAGGGGTTTGGGAGAAGGATGTCACAAGAGCATAGTGTCTTGCTCTAGGGATACTGGAACAGACTCTAGAACTCAAGCTACAAATGTATTTCTGTCAATCTTGTCCAAGGGCCATGGTCACGTCTACCTCAGCCAGAAGGGACCCCGGGAATCTACTAAACTTGGGGGACACACCCAGCTGTGGGTTCACTTACACATAGCTTCAGATTCCAAAGCCAAACTCCCAGAAAGGTAAGATCACACCCCATACACAAAACCACACGCATCAGCCAGCCTCTCATGCACCTCCCTGCTGGAAGAACCCTATACTTCCCGGGTGGTATCAAGAAAAATTACAGCACCCCAAAATCCCTATGCTCATTTGAGCTTTGCTTCTCACTGCTCTTCTGCTCTGGGCCTTAGAGAGACACCTACTGAGCCTGTCTCTGCTCTGAAGTTCAGCGACAACACTTAGCAGGTCAGTGTTTGGATTTTATCATCAACTGTACTAAAGGGCAATGTAACATCTGTCCAAGTAAAATGCCTCCAGCCTCTGGAGTCTTTGGTTTTATGTGCCCATCTCTCTCCTGGGTGGGTAACTTTTCCTGACTGAGGCAGGACTGCTGGACAGGCCAAAGCAAAGTACATGGGCAACTGCTACCTACTTTTTGCCCAAGTGGAAGTAAGGTTAAAGATCTATGTTTATTTCAGCTCCTTAGACCAAGAAATATTGAATCCATTTTCTTGATAAGATCTTCTGTATCACACACATTTGGCTCTCAGACCCAACCTTCCCCATAACATATAATAAACATTTCCCCCAAACTCACCTTTAAATTTGTCTGTGTCTTTGTCTCTGACTAGCCGTACACTCCTTATGCTGAGATCCTTAAAGATAGCATCTATGTCACCCTGAACCGTATTAAAAGGTAGATTTCCTACATATGCTGTGTAGGGGGGTTCTGTGGGCAGCTCCTTCTGGCTACGGGAACCATGACCACCAGCGCTGCCTCGGGACCTAAGGGGAGAAACAGATAGGATTCAGGTCTGCGCTGGCTCGGAGCCGAGTGCCGGGGACAGGACAGCCACCTTCCACTCTGCTACCCACTGCGCAGGTGGACTGCCCCACCTCATTTCCCAATAATGCACAGAAATGCTTTTCTTTTCTGAAATTACAAAAACTATTAGGGAATATTATTTATGAAAATGCTCAAAGACATTTCAAAATGAAGATAGCATACAAGTTACCCTTTACCTGCAAAAACCGAATGTGGTATATTCTGAAGTAACTGGTTCCTTTCTGTTCACTTAAAATCTGTACTTGCAACATGATGATACCCTAAGCCCCTCCCTTCCGCAAAAGAACAGACTGTACTGAAAAATGGCATTATACTGCAAAACCCTCCAAAGCTGGAACCTATGGGAGGTGGAAATCTAACAGAGAAAAATGCAAACATTTCCTACTAATTTAAAAACACAACAAAACCCTTCAAAGTTCCTCACTGTGTCAGCAGGAACTGACTGGGCTCCAATGGGTTTTCAGAGGCTGTAAGTCACACAGGAAGAGACTGTATCTTTCTCACTTGGAGCAGCCAGTAGATTTCACCAGTGCAGCTCCTTGGTCACTAGGCCACTGGAGCTCCCCTTTTCCCACTAAGAGCGTTAGAAAGTGTTAGGACTGCTCCCTGCCAGGGGCCAAAAAGTTTCAAGATAGAGGGGGGTAAGGCCAGCTCTGCCAATTCCTGCCATACGACCCTGTGAATCAAATGGCTGGCTGTCTCATTCAGCTTCTCTAAGCTTGGAGCAGCCATCACCTTCATCCCCTCAAGCTCCAGTGTGAGGTTAATAACATACTACTACGTGAAAAAGAAATGAGAAAGGAAGTACTTTCTTACCATTAGCTGAAGAATGTCAACTAGTAAATGCGGACAGACTCATGTGATGTGCAAACTCTACAGCCACCATGGCAACTAACTCGGGCAAAATTCCCAACAGACACTCAAACTATGACTACAAAGTCTATGGGAACAAGGTGCTCTCAAAAGGATTGAAAAGTTTGAAAGTAATATTTTATTGTGTCTTTGGCAAAGGTTTACAGAGCAGTTTAGGTCCTCATTCAACATATTTCTATATAATTTGATCAGTGTTAAATTTAAGAACACTGCTATCTACCTTCTCCCTTCTGATTGGCCCATTCTCATTAATCTAGTTTCTGTCTCCTTTAAACTCTCACCTTTATTTTAAAGTAATTGCTGAAAGCCTGGCCCCATAAAATTTTTTTACAAAAAATTATTTTGTGTGTGTACTGTCAAATTGGATCTGACAGGTAAAGGAGGAGATACAGAGAATAATTTAAAGGAATTCAGTACTTGTGGGTAATACTATTTTAAAATCCAATCTGGATTAAAAATTGGGTAATTTAGCTACAAGATTAGTTTTGGTCAAAAGTATTTCCAGGCAGCCGAATCCAGAAGTCCCCAAGTTTCAGTCAGTCCAACAGGTATGGCTTTTGTTTTGTTTTAGAAAAATCTGAGATTCTGGTCTACCTAGTGTGGCAATGACCGCTGACAGCAACGGGAAGGCACCGTCTAGTAAATGCAGCAAAGATATATACTGCTTTAACTCGTGTTCTCTGTTCCATTCTTTCAACTTCACTGCAGTTTCTTTTTCAGAAGAAAATGTTGAAAATGCAGAAACTCAGTATGAAGAAGGAAAAAAGCGGAAGTGTTTCCTTCCAATGGGACATTTACGAGTAAACAGGTCCCCTCACAAAAAAGTGCTCTTCAGTGGTCTATTCGGGGGGTGGCGGGACCAATTTGATTTTCTAGTCAAATACCTGTTTGGTAGAGTGGAGGTCAGCAAAAAAAAAAAGAGGAAGATCCTTGACGCGAAGAACCAGCAGCACAGTGGCTGCCATGTGAGCACGGGCTGAGCACGGGGCTCAATCCTGGGCACACGGGCTGAGGCTCAGAACTGACTCAACAGCACCTAACATTCACAAGCTGCTAGAATCTCACAAGAAAAACTCCCTTTCCTGAGGGAAGTTCCGGCTACCTCAAATACTTGATCATTAATGTAACTATTTAACATTTTGTTAAAACAAAAGAATCAAGCCAGGATAGTTCTTAAATGTATAAAATCTTTAATAATTCAGAATTCTGCTTCCTAAGAGGCTATCCTGCATTTTGAGAGGACCAGAAAGACAGATTTACTAGTGAATTGCATCCCACTTGTTCCTGTTTTCCTCAGTTCTTGGAACTGTTTATTTAGTAAATAGAATTTATTTTTCCATTTCAATATTCTTTGTAATACTACCTTACTATTGTTTTCCCCACAACCACAAAACTTAGACCTAAAATATTTTCAACAAGACAATGGGACTTGATACTAAATAAATAAGGATTTAGCAGAAAGCTTTGTAAGATCACCAGAACACAGATTATCGTTTTTTACAGTTTAATTATAGTTAAATCCATGGACTGTCTATCCATTTAGTCAAGCACATTTCTGTCTCTCCTCTCTCTCTCTCTCTCTCACACACACACACACACACACACACACACACGCGCGCGCGCACGGCTGCAGTGATTGCGTGAGATCTTAGGAGGGTGTTAGAGGCAGAGCTGATGAGATGAGTCAGCCCTGACCTCTGCGAGGAGCCCAAGGACTGCCCTGACAGAGACGCTCGGGCTGCCACCCAGGTGAGCGCAAATGTAACATGATGAGGTATTAGTGAAAAACAGAGGAGGATAAAGAGTCTGCTCTGGCTTTGGGAAAAACAAAGGAATCCATTTCAGGTGAGCAGTATTTGAAGAGCTACCTAAACATCAAGTGAAAACATCCAACAGCTTAAGTGGTAACTGGGTCCCAGGGTGCAGATCATGCAAGGCCCTGAAAACCCCTAACTCTAGATTGAAGAAGGACCAAGGGAGCCACAAACACCACCCACTTGACCCAGTCAACCTGAACGGCTACGTGACAGAAGGTTTGCCTGGAGCAGGTCATCAAAGTCATCACAGGGCAGCAGGGTGGAGGCCACCTGGGTAGATGTATATAATAATCCCATTAACAATCACAAAGCGTGCCCTGTGTCAGAAAGGGATAAACACCTCGGTGAGTCTCTATAATAACACGATTCAATCCTGTTACTCAGTGTTTACTCAGTGACACATATCTGTGTTCCCTACAGCTTGTGGTCAGGTGCTACCATGACTCAAGAACTCCAGGAACAACAGACTTCCTGAACCCTGTCCTGTCCTGTGATCCTCAAGATCTCTTCAGGCTTGCGCCCACTGTCACAGATTGTTATCTTGGTGAGAGAGTCTTCCTCTTTTCCTGAGCCCTCCACTTTTCCAAGCAGGAGGCCTTTTCCAAGGACTGGCCCCTCCTGGAAACCTGCCCCAAAGTTCACGGGGCAATTTTACCATCCTTGCCACTAAAAAACACTTTGGCTGCACTTCCTCCAAGACTGATTTGTTTGTTCTTTTGACAGTCCAGAATAAAGATATCCATTCTATTTCTTCGCCAACACCACAATTCAAAGGTATCAATTCTACCCCCTCCCAAATACATGTAAGAGACAATAGGATGATCCCTCATTAGCCAAAGAGTAAAATGATTATAAACAGAATGCAACACCCCTAATTCTACCACAGCTCTGATTCAATGAGAGGAAGTTTTCTCTGGGTGTAGCCCCTAACACCTCTTGTCTCACAAAAAAATTAAAGGGCAAGAGGAGGGTCTTCCGTGCTCCCAAGCCTTATGGAGTTCTCCCATAGCTCGGAGGAGGCAGGCATGTCTCAATCCCGAGAAAGATGCAGTGGCTGCTGTAGCAGCCCCAGCAAGGGGAGGTGAGAGGGAGATCTACTCTTCCAACAGGAGCACCTGCTCAGCCCGTGGGGTGGGACATACAAGCATGGCAGGTGGACAAGATCCACACACAGCAGACCCCCCTGGGCAGCCAGGCCTCCCACTGATAATGGGAGCAAGAACCAGGAACACCTTGGTTAAATGGGAGAGGCGCCTGGGCAGCAGGAAGCATGACCTCTCAAAAGGTCCTGCCTTCCATTTGTGTGTTAACTTATTTAAAAAATTTTAATAATTCATTAATAAAAGAAGAAATTTCATTCTTTAGAAGGAAAAAAGAAAAGGGCAGGAAAGCGAGCAGAGGGAGGATGGGAGTGCATTACCACCAGGAAAACATGGCCAGCAATGGAGACTGTCCTAGTGGACTCAGGTCTCTGCACCACAAAGTGATGATGATCTCATGAAGGCCAGGCTTCTGTGCACAAGGAAACAAGGACCTTCTTCCTCCAGAACCAACAGAAGAGGCCTTCCAGCCTCTTGAATAGGGACTGGTGATGGCCTCAGACTAAGGAGCTGTGCTGCCAACTCAAAGGCAGGTAGTTCGAATCCACCAGCTGCTCCACAAGAGAAGATGGGTAATCTCCTCCTGCACACTTTACTGTCCCTGAAAATGCACTAGAGGGTCAGTCATCAATGGGTTCTGTACATGACAATGACTGCTCTTAAATGATAAAAGAATCCTGTTTGTTAAAACCCTCCCCTTGATGAAAGGAAAGACACAGGTGTAGAAGGATTTATGGAAATCAGAATTACAGGGAAGAAGTAGAAAAGAGGCAATTACACAGTGAGTATTGTAACTAATGGAGAAAGCAGCTTGCTTTTTGTAAATGTTTCTTCAAGCCACAATTTTAAAAATATATTAAAAAAAATCCACGTGTAGTATCTGTTAGCAGCACTGGATAACAAGGATACCCATCTATCAACAAAGTAAAAAACCAGAAAACTATGCTTGAATTCCGTAAAATTAATGTGACATTTTTCCACCAGGATTGGGTGGAATACACATTTCCTAAGCAGTTACTTCTACCACAGGTTAAAGATAACACCAGGGGAGAAAAGACAAGCCCGGCATGTTAGTCAGCCTGGTGAAGGGCCTCTGTCTCTCATTCTTCTGGTCTGCTGTTTTATATGCCAGAATTTTTATTTTATAAA